GTGCGACGGTTGGGAGATGTGTATTCCATGAGTTGTGTACCCAATTTTCCAGTTGAGGTACGACGTCGGGCGTCCCATTCTTTTCACTGTATATTTTTTTGGAGTGTGTGGTACAGTGAGTCGATCATGGATTTTGTGGTGGCGATTGGTAGAAAATCGTCCATGCTTATTCCGACTATCAGCGTGTCCTTCCCTTCTGTTTTTGTGAAGAGGGACGTGTCTGAGCGCATTTGTTTGTACCCGTGACTCTTGAGGTGTGCGTGCAGTTTGGTGCTGTATATGTTGGCGGCGGCGGGTGTGCCGTATACGTTTCCTTTTAGGTGCCCGTGCGTGGCTGCGTGCTTGAAAGATCCGTCGAACCGCCTTGGTTGCTATACAAACACTTTCCGTTTGTGTTGGTATGCCTCGTGCAGGTACGCTCCTGATATGTCGAAATGTTCTATCTCCATGTTGCAAGACGCAGCGATGGCGAAAAGGGTGCGGATTGTGCTTCTGTCAACCATGTACGTCGCTGTCTTCTCCGGATCGTAATGAGTGTGTGGAGACATTCTGTCTCCGCGGATCGAGCACCGTGCTTTGCGTATGGTGCCTGTGTGATCCCTCTTGTAATGATATGTCATCGTCGTCGGGATGATGTCCCGTCTGTTGGTACTGTCTGTCTGCGATCGCCAGTCAATTGCCTTCATCTCGTCAAGCTGGTTGAGTTTGGTGTCGTGTGCGTCTGCCCTTTTTTTGGCGTCTGGGTATTGGCGCGCTTGCTTGAGAGTTTTAGGGGGGGCTGTAGTGTTGGTGACAGTCTTCGGGATGTGTGCTGTTCTTTGCGATTTTTTCTTCAGCGTGCTCTGTGTTCTGTACACTGCCGTGGTGTTTTCGCAGGGGTCTTGCTGCCTGTGGTAGGCCCTGAAGTCCGCTGCTCGCATTTTGCTGTACCTTCGGGTTTGAAGGTTTTGGACACAGATATGTGTCTCGTCCAGTGCGTACATGTATCTCACTTGTGATGCCTTGCTGTGGAGTTTTGGCATGTTGGGTTTGAGAATGGGGGTATATCCCAGTTGTCCGAACGCTATAATTGTTTTGAGCTGTGGCTTTTGCTGATGCCACAGCGTGTGAGGGATTCCTTTTACCCCGTGGTGGTAAGTTATGTTGTATTTAAATACAGCATCGCTCAAGGCGTCTTGCCAGTACACGTCGTGGAGTTTGCTGTGTGCGAGCGTGGCTCTCACTTTATCCATGAGTGTGCGATTGATGCGCTCGGCGAGGGCGTTCTCCTGCGGCGTGTATGGCGTCGTCGGTCGGTATTGGATTCCTCTGTGTTCGAGCTGCTTCTGCACTTGTTTGGCGAGGTACTCTTTCGCGTTGTCCGTCACGAGTAGTCTCGGCTGCTCTCCATTTTCCGTTGCTATCATATCGATGGCTTGGATGATTGTGTGTGGCACTTGTGCCCTGTTGTGGAGGTAGAAAACCCATATATATCTCGTGTTCGTATCGATGACTGTGAGAAAGTATCGACAGTTATGTTGGGACGGGGGGTGTATTGGGCCGCAGACATCCGAGGAGAGACTCTCTCCTCTTTCTGCGTGGTGTGCGGTGCGTTTGTGTGGCCTCGTGGCCGTTTTGCCGTTTATGCACCCGGTGCATGTCATTTGTGCACTGGTGTCTGGTAGGCCTTTTGGCATGCCAGGGAGTAATTGGTGTCGTGACATGTGAGCTATGGTCTTTGGGTTAGCGCGGTTGAGGCGGATGTGCCATTCAGCCATTTGCTGTGCTGCAGCTATGGGGATTTGTTGTCTCGACAGTGTGGTGGGTGTGTTTCGCAGTGTCGGTGTTTGTCGTCGCGTTGTGTTGAAGGGAATTTGAGCGCTGCGTCGCCGTGTGAGGGGGAATGTGTATTTGGGCGTGCCTGCATTTTTTTGGGTGATGGTTTGGCACGGGTTTTGCTGGTCGTTGTTTTACGGTTGTATGTCCTTGCTCCTTTGGCGGTTGATTGTTGTTGGAGGCGGTACTGACCGTTTTGGAAATGTGCGGTGAGTTTTGCTGGTGGCAAGCGCGTCGGTTTGTGAAGTGTTGCTTTGATTCTGGAGAACGTGACGTGTCCGTGCGCTGCCAGGTCGTGTACTGATAGCAAATTTTCCTTGATGCTCGGTGCATGCACTGCCGGTATTCGTACGCTATTCCTCTTCTGTGTGATCTTAATTGTGCCAGTGTGCGTGATTGGGACGCGTTGGCCGGTTGCCGTGGTGTTTAGTGTACCGTTGCTGGGTCTCATACATGCGTGGGGGGTAGCGGTATGAGTTGGATTTGCTCCAGAGTCGATGATGAATTTTTGCGTACCTTCGCTCCTGTCGTCGTGTGTTTGCAGTTGCTGTTCGATCGCGTGTAAACGATCATGCAACTGGTGCATGATGTTTGTTTCGTCAGTCTGTGTGTTGCTGTTGTTGTGCGCTGCTTGCGATTGTGCGTGGGATTGTTTCTGTTTGTACCTACGCGCGTAGCAGTTTGCTGTTTCGTGGCTGATGCTGCCGTGGATTGTGCACCATGGACCTCTGTATGCTGTAGGTTTTGTGTAGTGAGGTTTGTTGCTCACTGCCCGCCTGGGTTACATTCTGGTTGCGCGTTTTCGCGGGGATGGTGCTGTTTGGTTGGTGTGTATCTGGGTGTGCAATAGCTAGACTTGCTGCACATGGTTGATAAACCCGTTGATGGTGAGGGGTGGTTTCCTGTCATGATGATGGCTAGTTGTCCCAGGTCTGGGTGCTGTGCCATTCCTTGTATCATGTACCTCACTGTGGTGCGTTCCACATTGATATTGGGGAATTGCGCTACTTGCATCCGGTATCGGATCTCTCTGTGTTTGTCAACATAGTCGTTGAGCTCCTGTCCCTGTTGGTATTCCGTGTTGCGAGCTTTTGCATCGAGGAGTTCGTGGTTCTCCGTCGACGATGTGTCCACTGTAGATCTTATGATGTGGCAGATCGTTTGAGGTTCGTAACGTAGGATGTGGGGTGGCAGAATTTTGATGACTTCGTTGGTGAGACTTTGCATGATGGCTTTCCTGATCATATCCGCCTTCTGTTGTTCTTTCGGTGCGTCCGTGTTCGGCTCTGTGGTCGTGCTCGGTGGTGTGGTGAGAAGGTGTGCTGCCTTGATCGTGCGAGCGTAGATCTCAAGAACATCGTACCAGTAAGTGTGATTACTTGCTGTGAGGCGGGGTAGTTGTCCCGGGGCCGATACTTGTTGATCTGTCATTGTAACGTGGATTTAGAGAGCTGGGGACGAGGGTTAGTATGTTGCGCGGGGTGGTGTTGGTCTCGCGCGTTTGTCGCAGTTGGGATTGGGGATCTTGTGCTGCGGATCGGTAGTCAGTGGTAGTGTGTGGTGCCCATAACCTGTGATACCAAGAACTGGTCCGATGCCTCCGACCACCGTAGGTGGCGGAGGCGACGGCGACTTTATTCAGTTTGCTATGGTAGACCTAAATGGCTGTATGCCTTATCTGTGAGGGCTGCCTTATCTGGATGGAACCACAAATACTGTAGCATGACCACTGTTTCTGTTGTACCGTACAGTATCTGTGACAAAGAGATGCAGAACGCAGTTTGAACTTCAGTACAGTATTGATCAAAAGTGTTGACTACTTTATATGTTCTCGCTTTGGATGCTGTACCGAATTTATGGGAATTCGTTTTGAATTGCATTTAGGCAGACATTTTGCCTACAAAGAGATCACACGACTATACAGAAAAATTGTATCAATAGCCCCTGAACATTTCATCTCCTTGAAGCAGTACGACTTTAGGATTGCAAATGACAAATTTTGTCATATTTTTCATATTTTGCCATATCTCGTCAGTTTTCGACGTGCTTGTCCTGAGTCTGTATTCTCGTCTGTAAGAATAGAGAAGGTACACCCTCAAGACTGCGCAGAAGTGGAGTGTGCTTATCCTGCCAGGTATTCTTGGGAAAGCATGGGGAGGCAGCAAGTTTGAGAAATTCCTGCTTTGGTATTTTGGAAACGACCACAAGTCTCAATATCCAAGGCAGGATTGAAACGCCATTGCGTCCATTTAGCGACAAATGCCACCGGTATGTTGCACGGCATGTGAACAGCGACGGAAAGTATGTTCCAGAACGAGAGAATTACTCTCTGCATTGATGCGCACCCAAAGCAAAGAGAACATGGGCATTATTATTGAGGGCACAGTTCCACATCTTAACTATTCCTGTACGGTTGTCAGAGAGGATCACGGAACGCGCTGGAAACACACGAAGTATATCGTAGTTTGGGTATAATTGGACCCAAAGCCAGCGACCTGTACCGGTGCTGCAGTAGTGATATCCTCAATTCGGTAGAATTGAGCTTAACTACGCCACATTCAGAACGCGGCGAGACCGCTTCTGTACTGTACATGTATGGTTCTTTCGTGGTGCATCTTACAGAAGAGGCTACAGAACGTCAACAATTATCACAGACAGGGCCACGGATGCCTACAGTGTTGGTTTAAGAAAGGGAGGGCACGACTATGTTTATCGAGATGGTCTCAATCCAACCCAGCTTTGTAATCCTGTCATGCTCCATTTGGACAAATGTGGTACCCTTCAGTATGTATAATCTACGATTTCATCACTGTGCGTACAGTACAACAGAGCCACGTCATCTCGCAAGTAGAGTGTTGCACCCAGTACAGTATGGCCATTCCCGCGAACGCAGCAACTAGAGCATGCGTGGAGCGGCGAGCAAGGAAAGCCTCGGGCAGTAAGCTTTACCAGCAGCTGTTCCTCGCCCCGGCGTTTGTGCACAGCCTTTGGTTCGCACGGCTGAAATAAGGAGCTCTGTTTCGGCGACGTCGCGTACATTCTTGCCGCCACACGGCATATCGTCACAGCATCTCCGACGCACGAGGTGAGCGCGCCTAACCGCCGTAGAGAGCTCGGGAATATATACCTGTATATCGTATACAGTACTACACGCTTTTCCTCGCCATGCGATTTCCGGCACGCTCATGCCCTGTACCTATTCTGTACGACAGCAATACACTCGCATGACGGTGACGTCCTCTCCGACACCGTTGTCAAATGCAGCTTGGCTCGCCCTCCGCCCCTCAGATCTTACTGCCCGCCCCGCCCCCTTCCCCCGCGACCGTCCACGTCCATGCCTTCCGACACGATCTACTTTCCGTCAGCATCCCGCCGACAGATCTCCCATGTACACTAGTGCAGTGCTGCACCGCTGTAAAAACGAGTTGAGACGACCGCACCCACGCGTCTATGATAAAACCCATCGCCCGTTTTCCTTCTCTTCTCAACCTCTCTCCAACCCCCGCCTCATGTTGTGCTCCCCCACCGGTCACTCAATGCGACGTCCTCCCGTGCGAGCACAAATCTCGCGCGCCACGTGGCCCGCATGCCTATACCCGTGTCCGTATAACTCGCCTGCACCCCGATCGCAAGACCTCAATGCCATCTCCGCCCGCTCCGCGAGCCAGCACCGTACTACGCTGCGCATCTCGCGTGCGCATCTCCCGCCTCTTAGATGGCCCCGCCTTTATCGCGAGTCCATCGCTTCGTCCTGCCGCTACATTACTCCCCGCCTATCCCCCATGATGGCGCAAGGCTAGAGCAATAATGCTGCTGCACGGGAAGATAGGCGAGTCCCAGATTGTCATTTTAAGTGAACAGCGGCTTACCCACACCTCACCTCGACGCTCCTCGCGCAGCCACACACTCTCTCTCCCTTTTCTCTGTTACGGACAGCGACGCAACGCATATCGCAACCTCTGTTCCCGGGTCGTTCCCGACTCTGAAACAAGAGGCCACCTTCCGCACGCTGCGAAATCGATCTCTTCAGAGTGCCATCGTGTGTGTACCCGCCCCGTACTTTTTCCATCATGCGCGGAAGCCTCAGTCTCTTCCTTCTCCTCTCGCTCGCCCTCCACGTAGCTGCTTCGGAGTGCAGCAGGCACGCACACTGCGATGACGGCAACCCAGACACGCACGACGTGTGCATGCGCGAGCACTCCCTGTGCCTGTCGTTCTCTGGGGATCGGCAGAGCACCAACGTTATAGTCCCGCTCCAGGACCTGATCCGCGAGCTCAACGAGGGCCGCATCGCCACGCGGGTGAAGAAGAGGATCGCAAGGATCGCTGGACGTGTGATGGGAGAATGGAACCCCAACCTGTTTGTCTACCGCAACGTGGCGGGGACGGACCCGTCCGTGAGGCTGAGACGGTATTCGAGAACGATCGGAAGAGGGACGTCCAGCTTTGAGTTTCACAACACGATGGGCAACATCTTCCGGGCCGCCCACGACTTCCACACGACGTATTTCTCACCCGCACCATTCAGCCAGTCACAGGCGATGCTCGGCTTTGACGCGGAAGTGTACTATGTGAAGGGCGACAATGACAAGGAGGGCAACCCTCGGCGGCGGTACGTGGTGACCGACATCATGCAGTCGCTGATCCCGAGAAACTCGTCGTTCGGCGTCGGGACGGAACTGCTGACATACAACGGCAAGAGCATCGACGCAGCCGTGCTGGCGGCAGGCAAGCTGAGCTACGGCGCCAACCTGGGTGCGCAGGTCGCGGAGGGCGTGGGCCACATCTCCTTACGGTCGCTGATGGTGGACCCTGTGCCAGGCTCGGCCACCGTGAAGATCGAGTACCGCGCGACCGATGGGTCTAAGGGCAGCATCACGCTCCGCTGGCTCTTCATGCGGACGCATGATCGATCCGGGGCCGCCGCGGCCGCCATGATACCGCGCCGGTACAAGCGGGGATCGGCGGCTGAAGAGGACGACCTGGCCGGGCGCGGCGGGCGCAACGAATCGAAGATCGAGCTCGAGGTCCCCGCAAACGGACCGACGGCACCAGAGACCGTTCGCGTGGCCGAAAACCAGCGGCAAACGATCGCGGTAGCGCCACAGTTCGACCAGGTGTTCTTCGCGGAGACGATCGGGACAAAGGCCGGCAGGATCGGCCGTCTGCAGATCAAGACGTTCCAGGCGATTTCCAACTCGGCGATCTGGAAGGAGCTGGAGCGGCTACTGCGCGCAATGCCCGCGCGCGGGCTGGTGGTGGACATCCGCGACAACCCGGGCGGAAGGTTTGCCTTCACGGAGGACGTGTCGAACTTGATCACCGGCGCGATAGTGCCACGTTTCCCAGGGTCATGGCGCGGAACTGCGCTCGTGCGCGACGCGTTCCTGTCACTCGGCGACAATAGCGCGGAGGTGTCCAGCGTGCTTGCAGCCGTGCGGTCCGCGATTGCCGTCAGGGAGCCGATGTCCGGCCCGACGCTGCCGACGTTCCAGCGCAATGAGCTGGACACGGGCGGGTTCTATGACGGGCCCATCGTGACGCTGACGAACGCGCGCACGTACAGCGCCGCCGATATGTTCGCCGCGCTGCAGGTGGACCTCGGGCTGTCTAGAGTGGTCGGGATGGATGCGGCAACGGGCGGCGGGGGCGCGTCGGTAGAGCAGTACGAGAATTTGGTGAAGGGTTTTCCAAAGGTGTTCACATCCCTGGGCACCGACTTGGGGACATTCAACACGGCATACTCCAGATTCTTCAGGTGCGGGATGAACCAGGGCGCGCTCATCGAGAGCGTCGGCGTGGCGCCGAATGTAGCATACTTTCGGACCAAGGATGACGTGCTGAATGGTGACTGTGACCTCTACGAGACGCTTGGGGTGGAATTCGGGCGCTCGTAGGCGGAGAAAGGGTAGTGGAAAGTCGCATGACCCCTCTTTTACTTCGCTCCTCCGTCCCCGTCTGGAAACCCTCGTGTGGGTTCGTGCGTCTTGCACAGCCTGTCTTTTCGGCCCACTGTCTCCTTACAGTGCGCCGATGCGTGATGACGCGTCGCGACCTCTTCGCTGAGTGTGGCATCTCAAATACGGTATAACAGTACAGTGCCGAAAAAACAGTACTGTATAAGGACACCATCAATACTCACATTGCTGGCTTACAGTATTGTCAAGGCCAAATTTGAGGTGCGTCTAGGAATAAAAGCAACGAGGAGACCGAATCTGGGGTCGGATTTAAACATCGAGAACTCATTCACATGATACATTTATAGAAACCATATTTATGGGTGTTCGAAAGTATAAGGTACACAGCAGTTTCTTCAAAACCCCGCTCCACACAATGCAGTATCTCCCGCGAAAAGATTGGCAATAGAGACTATACGCATACAAAAGGAAGGCGAAAGCACAAAACACGTAGTAGCTCACTGCAACACAGCAAAAAATGCCTCGCGGTACGCATCTGAGCCAGCACGAACAAGGGCAGATCTAGGCTCTTCGTCTCAACAATTGGACAATTAAGGGAATTGTAGCGCATCTCTCGCGGTCCCGTAAGGTCGTGGCTACCTTTTTAAAGAACCCAGCCCAGTACGGGAAGAATAAAAGGCCCGGTAGGCCCTCCAAACTCACTGGCACGGCTCGGCGTGCCCTCCTGCGCGAAGCGCACAAAGGTCATTTATGTTCTTCAGAATTGGTTAAGACCCTTAGTCTTCCTGTAACTCCATCTACTGTACGAGGTATCTTACGGGCCAAACCAACTATTCAGTACGGCAAAATGGTCTGCGCTCCGATGATGCTCCCGAGACACAAAATTGTACGGGAGCAGTGGGGTCGCGAAAAGATCACTTGAACGGTGTCGGATTGGATGAATGTGGAGTGGTCGGACGAAAAGAAATTCAACTTGGACGGTCCGGATGGGTTCCGGTCCTATTGGCACGATTTACGGACCTACAAGCGCATGTCCTCCAAACGGAAGCAAGGTGGGGTTTCTGTAATGGTTTGAGGCGCTTTTTCCGGTACTAAGAAGTACGAGCTCGCTGTTTAAGTGGAAAGCAGGGTGCTATTAAGTACATAGATACATTTGAGTCCTATCTTTTGCCGTTTGTGGATCAATAAATGGGTCCAATTTGGATGTTTATGCAAGATGGTGCATCCATACACCGCGCTAGACGCACGTTTCAGTGGTTTGACGAGGATAAAATTCCTCTCTTAGAGTGGCCTGCCAAGTCACCGGACTTGAATCCTATCGAGAATTTATGGGGCATCGTAGTGCGAACGGTTTATGCACACCAACGTCAATTTAAGGACGTAGATGAGCTTTTAGAAGTTATAATGGAAGCGTGGGACGAAGTTTCGGAAATGCCAGGAAAAACTTGTCCATTCCATGCAAAAGCGGTGCTTTGAGTGTGTAATGGCAACGGGAGGTCCGACTAAGTACTAGGAGCGATGTAGTTGTGAAAGGCATGCGCTGTACCTTATACTTTCACACACCTATAAATAAGGTTTCTATAAATAATGTGGCATAACGGCGGTTCACGATTAGATTTAGATTAGATCAATATGAGCCCCACGCGCGCACACGTGTACCGCGCATGTACCCCACGTGTACAGGGGGCGCGCACGCACGTGCACACGTGTACCACACGTGTGGGAAGCGCGCATACCCACGTGTACTATACGTGTACAACACGTGTACAGACAGCACGGGACGGCCCGTGCTGACTACAGTAGCACTACAGTACAGCCCATACTGTACTGTAATAAGTTAGGATTACTTGGTATATTAAATACGCGAGCGGACCGGCGGCGGTGAGAGGGACAAGCACGGACTTGTCCACGACCTACTGCCTAGGTCCGTCTTCCAGCTTAACTAACACGCGCGATCCGCCTTCGCGCGCATTAAGCGGGACAAAGCGGGTAGGGGACAGCTGCGTACGCGAGCGAGCCTAGATCCGCCTCCGCCCGTCAGCGCTGGTACGTTACTCAGCGCTGCTCCGGGGCGTCGAGGCGTAGATCGGCCCGCGCGTACGCCCGTCCCCGACCGTCCCGCTCTACCACGCTACCAGGGCTCGCTTCCCTATCTCGTTAGCTGTGTGTTCTCCCCGTCTTCTCGCCCCCGTACAGGGTCTACGCCGAGCTAAGTATACACCCCTCTCCGTTGGGGGGTGTTATACTACAAATATCATGCGAATGAGGTCTCGATCTTTAAATCCGACCCCAGATTCGGTCTCCTAGACGCACCTCAATTTTGGCCTTTACAATACTGTATGCCAGCAATGTGAGTATTGATGGTGTCCCTATATTTTTTTCGGTACTGTACCAGCCCTCCCATTGAAACGATTTCATACAATTAAATAACTATATACTTTACAAGCGGCTTTGGGAGGACGCTCTTTGAGAGCTGGTTCCAAACACCACTTCCCATCCATCCCAGCACCAATTACAATGCAGGCTTCGCATGGAACCGCCACCCGAACGCTTGAATTTCCGTGAAAAGAGATGTCGAAAAGCCCACGGCCCCTCAAATGAAACAGGATATCTCACAATCAGTCAATTTTATCTCATACAGTACCACATTGCTCCACATGCGCAGAAGGACGCATCACAGAAGCGTAGAGAACCCTCATGAGGCCGAATTCCTCATTCTCTGCTCCTTTCCAGCGACGCAACTCTCTTTTTCTGCGCCCGCTGCCGTGCAAAAAGGCGACGCTCCTTCATCGAGCGCGGTAGCTTGAAAGCCTCACCGTAAAGGCCAACACGATAGTGTAAGGCATCCAGTTCAAATTGTATGCGATGACGTCGCTTTGCCTCATACACCGTTAACCACTTCTGCTCTTGGGTATTCATTTTTAGACTTTCCCGTGCCTTCTTCGCTCTTTGAAGAGCTTCTTTCCGTCTCACCATGTTAGTGGCAGCCTCACTAGTTAAATTTAAACCAGTACTGGTATCCACAAACCTGCGCCGTAACACGGGAACTTGTAAAAGCATACATCTTCGAATACTACATCTCTTGTCTTCTAAAAATGACGCCAATGACTCAACACTGACCGTTGTAGATGGTGCGCTTTTCGAGACAGGACGGGGAACGGACAGAAAATTTCCGGCACCAGTTGGTTAATTCCTGTCCCCGCA